CCAGGACCCCCAAATGTCCTCAGGCCAACTGCACAGAGGGAAAGTGGCTGGTTCACATCGCACAGAGTTTGGGCTGTGCAGGGATTGGAAGCTAAAACTACTGCATTTATTTTATTTATTTTTTTTTAAGATGGGGTTTCATCATGATGGCCAGGCTGGTCTTGAACTCCTGACCTCAGGTGATCCACCCACCTTGGCCTCCCAAAGTGCTAGGATAATAGGTGTGAGCCACTGCGCCCGGCCACTACTGCATTTAGATGAGTGTTCACTCCCTGGTGACAAAGTGTGCGTGTGGGCAGGACACTGGACCACCCTGACATTTGGCTTGATGTGGCTGTCAGGGTTAGGGGGAGGCCTCAGCTTGTCTGGTGGTGGGGGCCATGACAGTGTGTTCTCTGTTTGTGAAGAAAGGTGCTGAGAGGGCTAGTCCCCTATCTTGGGGCCTCAGTTTCCCCATATACTATGTGTGGGCTCATCCTGTGGAAACAGGCCAGAGTGCATGGTTCGGGGAACGGGAAATTCTTGGGCTGCTTTTCCCCATTCCCTCCAGGGCTGTGCTTCTCCTGCCCAGGATCTGAGCAGGACAGCCCCTTAACAACAATAAAGATAATAATAGCAACAACCATTTACTGTGCGTCAGCCTTGTGCCGGGATGCCCTGTGCTAACTGCCTGTGCCCACGTTACTACGTTTGTTCCTCTCCATGGATACTTGCCCAAAGTCATGCAGCTCAGGTGGTGCAGCTGGGCCTGGGTCTCCATTCCGGAGCCTGTGTTCTTGGTCACTATATCTTGCTGCCCTTTCCCCTTCATTCTGGCTCATCTCCCAAGTTAGAGGGAAAGGCTCTAAGCTCTGACACTGGGGTACTGACCCATATCCCCTGATTTGTTCCCCCCACTCCCCAGGCCTTGTACAGCTCCATCAAGAATGAGAAGCTGCAGTGGGCCATGTGAGTCCCGGGGCTGCGTGGTGGGGCTAGGGTGGGGCATGGGGAAGGGGCTGCCTGGGGAGGCCGAGAGAGCTGTGGGGAGCCCTTGGGGGGCAGAGGAGGGAAGTGAGAGGCCATGAGAGGCAGTGAGGCTGTCTCACTTCCTTCTTTGGAGATGTCTGCCTGGAGTTGGGGTTCTGTATCTTGTCTCTAGCTGGGTTGTTATGACAAGTGGGTTGGGGTGGGAGGAGAGGTGCTGAAACATCAAAGAGGGGGGGTCCCCTGGCAACCATGGTGAGAAAGCAGAGGCCTCTGGAAGCAGGGCCCTGACCAGTAGCACAAGAGGCCCTCTCAGGCCCTAGGGAGCCCAGATGTCATAGAACAAAACAAGTAACCATGCTGTCTGTTCTTGGCAGCCCCCAATAGAAACAGAGAGACTCATAGTAAGTCTTGGAAGAGTCTAGTCTAAGGGAAGAAATTCAGTTGGGCCTTGGGGCCCCCAGTCTGAGGGTAGAGCCCCTGTCTTCATGATGCATAGATCACTCATATTTGCCGGTATCCACTGAGACTCCCTCACTGCCCAGTTAACTGGGAGTTCCCAGTCATTGGAGATCTCCAGGGAGGTGCACCTCAGGATTAGGGTGCCAGGGGGGATTGGGGAAAGCTTCTGGAGGGTTGAGACTGAGGCAGGTCATGAATTTGGGGCAGCATTTGGGAAGAGAAAGGGGGAAGTTGGAATTTGGGATGAGGCAAAGGCGTGGCAGCTGAAATGAGTGTGGGGTGGAGGACCAATGGAAGCAGGCCTGGCTGAGCTGGAGAAAAACAGTGTTGGGGGAGATGCAGTGAAAGCTCCATATGGGAGGCAACAGGGAGCTATCGCAGATTCTTGAGCAAGGGAGTGACAAGATAGAATCTGATTTTGCATCTGACCGAGCCTGTAGAACAGGATATATGGGATTGGGAGGGGGCACTAGGAAGCTACTTCCATCTGCGACCACTTAGCCACAAGCCATGAGCAAAGCCCGGGGCTGGATGTGGTTGAGCCAGCAGAGGCGGCCCCGGGGCTGTCCTGGCGGAGAGGAGTGTGAGGGCCGCAGGTGTGCAGCATGAAGAGTATCGTGCTGGCCTATTCCTGGGAGGTAGGGACAGTGGTGACTCTAGGCTGGGGCGCTCTGAGGGAAGATACATGCTGTCTCGAAGTGCCCTGCTCTGAGGGGGCACAGCTACATGTCGGGGAGGCCTGATCTGAAGCAGGAGATGTGGCAGGACCCTCAGGTTGAGCCCCCCCAAGCCACACACTTTGGGGAAGCTTTCCAGGATGGGCAGAGGCCTGAACTGAAGAGGGGGTCGTGGCTCCACGGCCAGCCCCCTCTGAGGTGATCACACCTGCAGAGACGAGGAGGAGCTGAGACGCTCTCTGTCTGAGTTGGCCGACCCCAACCCCAAGGTCATCAAGCGGATTAGCGCGGGCAGCGGCAGTGGCTCCAGCCCTTTCCTGGATCTGACTCCCGAGCCCGGGGCTGCTGTCTACAAGCACGGGGCCCTGGTGCGAAAGGTGCACGCAGACCCTGACTGCAGGAAGAGTATGTGGCCCAGTAAGGGGCTCTGGGGGATGGATGGGAGTGGGCCTGTTCCAGGGCCCCCTGACCTGTCTTCTCTCCCTGCAGCACCTCGAGGCAAGCGGGGCTGGAAGAGCTTCCACGGGATCCTCAAAGGCATGATCCTCTACCTGCAGAAGGTGTGGGGCCAGACCAGGGGGCCGGGGCTGGGACTGAGTTGGCTAGTGGGTCGAGGTGGTGGTGGGTAGGAATAGGAGGGGCTAGACCAGGCTGCATTTGGGGCCAAGACAAGATGGGCACCCCTGCAGGAGGAGTACAAGCCTGGGAAGGCCCTTTCAGAGGCAGAGCTCAAGAATGCCATCAGCATCCACCATGCCCTGGCCACTCGTGCCAGTGACTACAGCAAGAGGCCCCACGTCTTCTACCTGCGCACAGCCGACTGGCGGGTCTTCCTCTTCCAGGCCCCGTGAGTGCCCTCTTCCTGCTCATCCCGGACCCCTTCCCCCAGCTCCCATCCTGCTCCCCTCCCTGTCCCTGGATTTCTTCATTCCTTCTCAGGCTACACCTGAGCCAGGACTGGCATCCTGGGACAGAAACCCTGGGCCCAGGTCCCAAGGGGCTGTGCTGTCTCCCCAGGAGCCTGGAGCAGATGCAGTCCTGGATCACCCGCATCAACGTGGTGGCCGCTATGTTCTCTGCACCCCCATTCCCAGCTGCTGTGAGCTCCCAAAAGAAGTTCAGCCGCCCTCTCCTACCCAGTGCTGCCACCCGCCTCTCCCAGGTAGCCCCAGCTCGATCCACCTGGTGCCAGTGGGGTTAGGGGATTAGCCTCAGGCCCACTGCACCCAAGGCTGCTGTATATGATCATGGAGATGTTCCTTGCACTAGGATGCTGGCCAAAGGAGTGAGATCCAGCCCCCACTCGGTTCCATTTGCCAGCTGGGAACCCAGACAGAGTGTTTTGTTCGTCCAAAGATGGAAGGGGCATCTTTTAAAAAATCTGCCCGGAGGCACCGTCTAGGGCAGTGACCCTGACCATGCCTCCCCCTGGCCACTAGGAGGAGCAGGTGCGGACCCACGAGGCCAAGCTGAAGGCCATGGCAAGCGAGCTTCGGGAGCATCGGGCCACCCAGCTGGGCAAGAAGGGCCGGGGCAAGGAGGCTGAAGAGCAGCGGCAGAAGGAGGCCTACCTGGAGTTTGAGGTGAGCCTCCCAGCCTGCACCTCTGTCCACACACGCAGGCCATACTAGGGTGAAGGGCATGGACTCTTAAGAGTGGAACGGGCGGCGGTCCTTGGGCAGGTTGCTTAATCTGAGCCTCAGTTTCCTCCTCTGTGTAAAAAGGATAACACTCCACACCCACTGGGGTCTGAGGTGAGGCGTGTGTGCCAAGCGCTCCATTTCTCCAGCTCTAGTAAAGGCTCCAGACACATTCGGTTACAGACGATGGTCCCGAGAGAGGCCAGAGAGGGCACCAGCCTGCAGGGGACCATTTCAGTCCTGGGTGGGACCCTGTCATCTCCTACCCTGCTGGCAGCCCTCCCAGTTCCAGATGGTGGGGTGGGCAGAGGGCGAAGAACAGGCTCTCATGGCCCCTGCCCCTCTGCCTAGAAATCCCGCTACGGCACCTACGCAGCACTGCTTCGGGTCAAGCTGAAGGCAGGCAGCGAGGAGCTGGATGTAGTGGAGGCAGCACTGGCCCAAGCCGGCAGCATGGAGGACGGACTCCCTCCTTCTCACTCCAGTCCCTCCCTGCAGCCCAAACCCTCCAGCCAGCCCCGGGCTCAGCGTCACAGCTCAGAGCCTCGGCCAGGGGCAGGCAGTGGGCGGCGGAAGCCCTGAGATGAGGGTCCGGGTGGGGGGTGCCTGCTGGGCACCTGCAGGATGACATGGCCCTGCCTGAGCCCGGGCCGGCCTCGGGCCACCCACGAGGGCCTCCCGGCCTAGGGCCCAACCGCGCCGGACGCGGTGTCCGGGGCAGGGCAGGGCTGGGGCCTGGGCCTCAGGAGCCTAGGCTAGGGGCGCCTCCGAGAGCCCCTTTTTGTGATAATGTTTTGCACTTTTTCGTACAGGGTGGGCGGGGATGGGAGGGGCTAGTGCCCCTGAACTTTTGATGCTTTTTTTGTGTGTGGGAGAGGCCTGACGCCATTTCTGCTTTCTGCTGAGACCACCCCCACCCTGACACCAGCAGTCCCCTCCATCCTGGGGCCTGGCTTGGACAGAGGCCAGGATTTGGGGCTGAGCTGGTTTCCCCTCCTTCCTCCCCAAGGGCTCACCCTCTCTCTTGCTGAGGTGGAGGAAGGGCGTCCATGCCAAGGCCCCATACCTGGGCCAGGGGCAGCACGGCCTGGCTTTCCCCGCTTCAGTGGGCCCTGCCCTTTGTACAGCCTCCACCCCCATTAAAACTGCTCTGGACTTGCTGGCTGGGCCTCCTCCTTCTCTTCTCACCATGCCTGGTGTGTGGGCAGGGTGGGTAGCTGGTTCCAGGGACAAGAATCACATCAGGGGCTGCCACTAAGTTGGGAAGGAGGAGGGGTCCTCCCTTTCCCATGAGAATCCTTTATTTGTCCCAACTGAGGGTGGGTGTGGGGTGTTAAATAAGATTTGACACAGGTGGGGACGCTGTACAGGGGGTCTGGGAAGGTGGCTGGGGGCGGGCTGCAGGTCAGTGCACCTGAGGCTGGGGGTGCCCGTGGCAGAGCCCTCCTGGTGGCTCAGGAGGTGGGCCCAGCTTCTCTGCCTCCTGCTCCACTGACTGGCTCCCGTACGCACTGTCTTCCTTCATCTCTGCTGGGAGAAAATGGGGTCAGGGCTTCAGGCCTCCAGGCCCAGATCCACCTTCCAGGAAGGCCTCTTTACCTGTGCTGGGCAGCTTGTCTCGGGTCTCTGGATCTCTCAGCAGCCTCACTCCCTCTTCTAGGCCCATGTCAGACAGGGCGTCCTGCAGGCCTGCCAGGTCCCCACCAGCAAGCTGAGAAGGCAGAGGGATGAGATCTGAGTCATGGTTAGGGTGTGTGCTTGGAAGCCCTGGGGACAAGGAGGCATCTGACTTCTGAGATCCAAAAGGAAGCTGGGGGGGGGGGGTGGGCAGGGCGCAGGGCACCCACCTCGTAGCTGCGCAGGAGGCTGCCGCTGGGTGAGGCCGTCTGTCGGTACGTGTCCACCAGGCTGCGCAGACCCAGCCGCTCTGCCAGTTCTGCCCAGCTGCCTTGGGCTTCTGGCCCATCTAGCAGCTGCTCCAGGTTCTGCAGGGCTGTGTCACTAAGTGACAGCCCTGGCCCTGAGGGGGACACACATAGAGAAATGTTGGTTACCTCTGGAGTTGTGTTGGGACATGCACACCTGAACACTGCCTTTCTCTCAAGGTAAGCAGACAGACAGGGCCATGAGGGGTGATGGATGCGGCCAGGGTAGAGAAAGGGAGGCCATCTTCAGAGATCCTGAAGGAGAACAGACCTCCATGAGGAGTCAGGCTGGGGATGCTTGACGATCCTCACCTGTGGGGCTGGGTGGGGTCAGAGGCGGCTCCAGGGTGTTCTGAGCGGCATTGAGCAGCAAGGTCTTCACCTGGGGAGACAGCCGCACCTCTGACTACCTCCCGCCCCATCCTTAAGCCCGTGTCTTTAAGTCCAGATCCTCTGGACCCTGTCAGAGCACGTCTAGCTCCAGGCTGGTCTCACCTTGGTGCTGCGAGTGAGGTCAAGAGGCGTGTGGCCCCGGAAGCTGCTTCGGGTGTCCTTCTCAGGCACCTCAGAGTCCGAGTCGCTATCAGAGGTAGGGGGTGAGGGCAGTGGGCACAGGGGCTCCTCGTTCTCAGCATGAATGTCAGCACCTGGGAGAGGGAGGCCGTCGTCAGGAGGTATGGTGGGAGCCCACATTAAGGACTGCAAAGTGGGGGGACTGGGAAGCGCCTCTTTCCCTTCCCCCTACCCTGTTCCAGTGCCCCTGAGGGTGAGACTGACCAGCTTTCAGAAGGAGGCGAGTGAGGGTCGGGGACCCCAGTCCAGCTGCCAGGTGCAGGGGTGTGTTTCCCGCAAAGGTGCGAGCGTTCACATTGGCCCGGAGCTGGGGGTGTGAGCAGTGAGGGTTGACACCACAGCACAGTCTCCCAGCCACCCCCCCACATGCCTCATTACCATCTTTGATCCCTCCACCACCCTTGGCCTCACTCCTCCCACAATCCTCAGTCCCACCTTGGTGACCAGATGGGTGACCAACCCCAGCTCCTCCATCTCTGTGGCCAGATGCAAGGCTGTTCGGCCCCCCTGACGCTCTGTGGCCTCCACTTCAGCCCCGCTGTCCACCAGCAGATCCAAGCACTCGGGGCTTCGGGCTCGGACTGCCAGGTGCACTGGATACAGTCCTAGGGAGGTGGGACGCTCAGCCTGCAGCTGTGACCCCCTAAGGCAGCCCCCAGACCAGCCCTGACCATTCAACCTCGGCACCTCATAGTCCACTTTGGACACTCGCCAGATACCTTCCCTAGTCCCCACCTGTCCCCTAGTCAGGTGAGATGGGGAGCTCACCCTCAAAGTCAGGCATGTGCAACAGCTGGGGCAAAGCGGGAGCTCCACTCCGAAGCAGTGCACGCAGCAGCTCGGAGGCACCAGCGCCCGCCCGCAGCGCCAGGTGCATGGCCGAGTCTCCATGCCGATCCAGCAGTGCTGGGTCTGCACCCACCTGCAGCAGAAAGCTCACCACCCTCGTCTGCCCGGTGATCACCGCCAGGTGTAGGGGCGTCTGGGATGAAAGAGGGAGGGGTGAGCCAGGCCCGAGACCCACCTGCCTTCCAACCCCTCCCACCTCCTCAGTGGGCGCCCCTGCACCTGGTGCAGGTGGTTGGTGAGGTTGACGACGCCGAGGTGCTGGGCGTGGTAGATGACGTGGGCTATCTGCTCAATGACACTGGTCTGCTCGTGGATGATGGCCAGGTGCAGCGGCCTGGGGGTTGGGGAGCGAGAGAGTCTGGCCTAGCCACTCAGAGCATCCTTCTCTCTCAAAGTCCCATGGCCCCCACAGTCTCCCTCGCTGGGGCCCGTGCAACCCAGCACGTGGCCCAGGGCATCCCTGTGTCTGCACTTAAAGTTTCTCCTCACCTTTTGAGGTAGGTAGGGCTATTATTGTACCCCTAGCACGGTCGAGAAAACTGAAGTTTGGAGAGATCAAGCACCTTGAACAGAGCTGGTGAACAGCGAGGCCGGACTTGAAACTGCAGGGCCCGGTTCCGTGCACGTCCCTTTCCTGCCCCCACCCAGCACTGAGTTGCCTGGCCCTCTCGGTTGCCTACGTGTCTCCGTTCTCGTCTTGCGCCGTCAGCAGGTGGCGCTGTCCCGCCAGCAGCGCGCGCGCATCCGCGGTGACGCCATAGTCAAGTAGGGCCTGGGCACTGCGCTGCGCCAGGCTGAACAAGCGCGCGTTGTACTCTCGGGCTGGGGGCGACATAGGGCACGGGTCAGGGCTGGGTTCTCAGTCCTGGGCATCCCAACCACCTGTGCCCCGGAGGCCATACCTCGCTGCAGCATCTCTGGGGCCTGCGGCTCGCACTGGGAGGTCCCAGAGGGGGCCTTCGGCTCTGGGGCTTCCTCCCTAGAGTCCTTGCCGGGTACCGAAGCGGCCATCTGTGCCCCACCCCCGCCACCAGGGTAGCAGCCCATGGGGGCTGCGCCGGACTGGTAGGGGTTGTAGGCCAGCGAGGAGGGGAAGAAGCCAAGGCTGCCACCTGTGGGTACAGGCAGACTGTGGGAAGGGGGCACCAGCCAGGAGATTTTTTTTTTTTGGAGACAGATTTTTGCTCTTGTTGCCCAAGCTGGAGTGCAGTGGAGCCATCTCGGCTCACTGCAACCTTCACCTCCTAGGTTCAAGTGATTCTCCTGCCTCAGCCTCCCGAGCAGCTTGGATTACAGGCATGTACCACCACACGTGGCTAATTTTGTAATTTTAGTAGAGATGGGATTTCTTTATGTTGGTCAGGCTGCTTTCAAACTCTCAACCTCAGGTAATCCGCCCTCCTAGGCCTCCCAAAGTGCCAAAGTGCTGAGATTACAGGCATGAGCCACTGAGCCGGGCCTTTGGTTTTCTTTTTTCTTTTTTTTTTTTTTTTGAGACCGAGTTTTGCTCTTGTTGTCCAGGCTGGAGTGCAGCAATCTCGGCTCTCTGCAACCTCTGCCTCCTGGGTTCAAGCAATTTTCCTACCTCAAACTCCTGAGTGGCTGGGATTACAGGTGTCTGCCACCATGTCCGGCTAATTTTTGTATTTTTAGTAGAGCTAGGGTTTCACCATGTTGGCCAGGCTGGTCTCAAACTCCTGACCTCAGGTAATCCACCTGCCTCAGCCTCCCAAAGTGCTGGGATTACAGGCATAAGCCACTGAGCCCCTTCTCTCCCAGACTTTTTTCCTCCACAGCTTCTCTTACCTTTACCCCTCCCTCCATCAGCACTCCCTTACCTCCTCCTCCAGCTCCTCCATAGCCCCCGGCCGAGCCCCCAGAGCCTCCACCCATGTGGGAGCCGCCCCCAAAGGGCTGGGAGAAGGTGGGCAAGGCCTTCCTCCGCTTCCGCTGCACCTCTTCCTTGTCTGGGCACAGAGGAAAATGAGATTAAGCCCAATTATTGTGTCATGCCTCAGGGGCCCTTCCCAGAAGAACCCTCAGGCTGGTTCCTAGGAAGCACCCCCTGGGAACCTTCGCACTCTTTACTTGGCTCATGCATTCCCGTATCTCGACCCTCTTCTAGCCCAGCCTGGCCCCCCGCCATCCCCCTGGGGTACTCAGCCCAGCTCCACCTTCCACCAGCGGGTAATAGGTGAACTGTTTGGAATCAGACACGTCCCCTCCTCGCTTGCGCTTCAGTTGCAGGAACACGGTTACAGGCCGCTCAATCTTCATCTTGTGATAGGGGGGTGTCCGGAACACAATGGCATACTGGGGGGTGCAGGGAGACACAGGGTGTCGGTGAGTCCTTAGCCTAATTCAGCCCCCAGCCGGGGCCCTAGCCCTGGGTACCTGTTTGTGCACATCTGTGGGAGAGAAGTCGCCAAAGGCCTGCCATCCATTCTCATCATCCTCATAGAACCGAACCTCAATGTCATCTACAAGGAAAATGGAGGCTTGGCCGCAGCTCCTGGTGCGAATCTCTGGGGCCATTTACCCAAGAGCTTCCCTGGCCTCAGTTGTACACTGGATGTCCTTGGCGCCCGGCCTGGGCTCCAGTCTCACCTTTCTGCACCTTGTCACAAAGCAGGTAAACTTCATCTCCACCCCGCACAGAGCCTGCTGTTTTGTCCATTCGAGAAATCTTCAGGTTTGATGCCCCTGGAGACTCTATGGGGTGGGATATGGATTAGCTGAGATGATGCCAAAGCCATGGCCACATTTAAGGAGCTGAGTGCTTTGTATTCCTTATCTCAGCAACCCCAGGAGCTGCAGGAACCACCCAATGTATGCATTTACTAAAGAAAGAAGCTTCAGGGGGAAAAATGACTTGCTCAAGATCACTCAGCTTATACGTGACAGGGCCAGGTTCTGAAACCCAGGCCTATTTGTCTCCACAGCTTGAGGTCACCCCTCATGCTACCTCTGCCACCAGGCCTGGCACCCTAGGCAGTCAGAATACTCACTGCTGTCATGGATGGGCTGGGAGATGACTGGCTTCAGGGGCAGAGAGAAGGAGCCGTCACTGGCTCGAAGGAAGGCAGAGAAGCGCAGCCGGACGATACTCAGATCCATGACCTTCTTCAGTTCTTTGGCCTCCTGCTCCAGCTCCCGCCGTTCAGCCTCTGGGCAGTGGGCACATGTGTGACACCTGGGCTTCTCTCTCCCTGCTCCTTCCATGAGCACCTCCCATGACCTGCCTGCACCCATACCTGTAAGGCCCTGGGGCCTGGAGCGGAGCCGCTGCCTCTGAAGTTTTTGTATCATAATCTCCATCATGTTCTTCTTGGTCACATGCAGGACACCTAAGTTGTTAAATCTGAGAAGGGGGAATCAGAGGCCTTGGCCCATGCAGCTTTTCCTTCCCGAGGCATCTTCCCCATTGCCAGGGCTCAGCTCAGCCTCCTTCCTCAAGGAAGCCATTGTAGATTTTACTTGAGCCCTTGGGTTTGGGGACCAACCTAAGGCTCTCCCCTTGGTAAGATGCTAAGCTCACAGAGGTGGGCTGGGGCCTAGGACTGGCAGGCAATGATGGGGCATACCGCTGGGGGTCAGGGGTAGAGGGCACTTACTGGGCAGTCATGTCCTTGGGCCCTACAGAAACGGCGCAGACCCCCAGCTCCGAGCACTGCTTGCCCACCAGACTGTGGGCATGAGCACGAGGTGGGTCACTGTGTGTTACCAGATCCACCTCGATCTTGGCTGGTCCCTCGTAGTTACAGATCTAGGAGGGGCGGGGACTGTCAGTCATGGTCTTGGGTGTGCTGTCCACTTAGCCCACCCTCCAGCACCATTCTGGCTCACCTTGACAGTGGGATAGGTCTTCCGGCCCTTCTCACTGGAGGCACCGGGCAGCCCTCCATGGGAGGGGCCTTCACAGCCATATCGAAATCGGAAGCCTCTCTGAAGGTCCAAGGGCAGAGTGACATTGTGATCAGGGAAGACCCCCCCCCCCTCCACCAGCCAGCCATAACCTGGCCAGCAGTGACCACAGTGCCTGGTAGTATCTGCCCTGACCTACAACCACATCTCTGTGATCAGCAGCAGTGACCATCTAATCCCCTGTGGCCTCCTTGGACAAGGACCCCTCCATGTCCTTGTCCAAGGAGGCCACAGGGAATTAGATGGTCACTGCTTGCAGCCAGCTACAACTACCCCATTTGTCCCCAAAGCTGAAAGCATTCCACACCCTCCCTTTTGCTCACTCACCTGCTTAGGCTGTTCCACGATCACCAGGTAGGGGCCATCAGCTGGGGACAGAGAGACCTTGCTGAGCTACAATCTCCAAGCCTCTCCCCCAGGCAGAGGGCACATGCTCTCCTTCCCCCTCCCTTTAGGACTAGAGGAGGTTAGTGGACTTACTGACCTGTCTCTGGGGCTGGCTCCTTGGGTTCCACAATGGAGGAGTTCAATTTGAAATCATCATATTCAATAATACCATCCAGACCCTGGTTTGTAGAGAGACTGGGGGTGGCATCTGACTCTCAGTGCCTCATCCCCCCACCTCCCATCTCCAAAAGTCCTCAGTGGTCACTCCCCCTCCTCCTGAGGCATAAGAGAAAGCTCCTTTTGGAAGCAGAGTTGCAGACAGATGGACAGACTGGCAGGCTAAGAGCATCTGTGAGCATGCAGGTGTAAGGCAGCAGAGGGGGTTCCAGTAGACAGGTGGACAGACAGTGGGGGCCGCCGGCCAGGTCGGGGCCAGGCGGCGTGACTCACTGGGTTGTAGCAACTCTCCATGTCTCTGGGCTAGGCCTGGCTCTGTCTAGTGGCTCCGGCCAGGTTCTGCTTCCCAGAATTTTAGGCGCCAGCCTAAAGTTGGGAGGAGTGGTGGAGGGGAGGGGGTCAGATCTACAGTGGGGATGGGCGGAAGATGGGGGCCCAGATTTGGGGGAGGGTCCGATCTCCTCCAGCCGCCTGTCCGGGTGTGGCGGGTGAGATCCGGTGGAGAGCGAAATCCGGAGTTGGGCTTGGCCGGGGAAGGGGCAGGAAAGTTAGAGCAGCTTAGGAAAGTCCCGAAAATACCAGGGGGAGGCGGGGCCGGAGGGGGCGGGCCTGGAAATGACGCAACTGGCCCCGCCCTCGCGACGGGAGGGGCTGGAGGTCTTCGCCAGTCAGTTGGTGCCCGCCGAAGAGCTGCGGGCAGAGGACGAGGAGAATCAGGGAAGCTCCTGTGGGGGTTAAGCCCCCTCCTCCCTCCAGGGCAGGGAACAGGAGGGTCCTTCACAGCCTGGGGAGGCTGGCAGTCTGGGGCCAAGTCAGCTTCCCGCTCCCCTCCCCTGGTCTGGAGCAACCTTGGGATTTTCTGTCATGAGGGAGGCCACGGCTGATAAACCCCGGGGGCTTTTGGGGGGACATTCCTGAGGGCGCACGGCCGCCTCTTCGAACTGCCTGTAGGCGGGGGCTCTCCCGTGGGAGGCCTGGGGTTCTGCCCCGAAACGCGATTCTGGAGCCGCAGGAAAAGTGTCTCCTCCTTGGGATAGGCTCCTCTTTTCTCTCCCAAACCTCACAACAGCTGCTGGTCCCACACCGCACTGGCTCTGGGCGCGCAGGTGACAGGGAAACTTCTGCACGTTCCCCACCCAATATGAGCGTGTGTCAGCTGTAGTGCTTGGGTGTATGTTGTGTGTGCATGGCGTCAACATGAGTATGCAAGTGAGCATGTGTGTACAGAGGTGAGTCCCGAGCTTCTCAGTGTGGGTGCGGGTCAGCGCCTGTCTTGATGTACAGGCACGGGTGAGCGTATCTTGAGTTTGTGCGTGGAGGGTGTGGGTGCAGGCACCGGTGCACCGGCGGGCGCGTCTCCGAGTGCATGTGTGTGCGCCGGCCCAGGTGCAGGTGTACGTACGGGTCCGCGTGTCTTTGTACGAGGATGTCGACGTGGATCCGAGTGTAGTTGCCTGTGCGCCCTCTCTGGGTGTGTGCAGCTGCTGCTCTCCAGCCCCGGCGCTGTCCACTAAAGGCCCTCTTCCCGCTCTTCTCTTGTCCCGGCCACCCAGGGGTCTGAACCCAGCCACTCACCGTGGCGGCGGCAGCTCCGGTTCCGGCTTCTCTCCGCGCCCGACCCACCTGGGACCGGCCACGACACCTCGCCAGCCAGCAGGGCTTGGGGCCGGGAAAGCCCCTTCTCGAACCCCCCGAGGGGGAATTCCCGTGACGTTTCCGTGCGTCACGCCCCATGCCCTTTTTTATTGGCTGAAAGTTTAACTCTGAGCTGGCGCAGCCAACCCGGAGCGACTCGGGCGTGCCGGGAGGGGACGGGCTCACTCCGGGCGAGGAGCGGGTGACTGGCAACCGGGCGCAAGCTCGGCCGGGGACCCCCGAGAAGGCACCCGCTGACCCAGCGCCACCCCGAGCCGGAGCTTCCGCTCCTGCTCAGCGTTCGCTGCGCCTGAAGCTTGGCTTTCTCTGAAACTGGGGAACTCCAGGGGGAAGCCGGCAGCCCCTGCCCGGAGCGGCTCGCTGCCGGGAAGTTAGCGGAAGAGGAAGGAAGTTGCTCTTGCAGTCGGTCCCGGGTGCCCTCTGGTGGCCTCCCAGGGGCCTTGAGGAGACTCCGAACGGCCCGGGCCCCTCTCTCGCTTGGTTTCATCAGCCTCAGGACTCCCGGAGAGACAGTCCCGACCTTGGACATTTTAAAAAGTGGCAGGTTCCCAAAGGGCCGCAACTCAGGAGCTCTGCGCAGAAGGGAAATGAATGTTTATTCAGCACGGAGATCTGGATTATTAGAACTGAAAAGGCATCCAGAGTTTACACAGCTCAAACTTCCACTGCTGTGGGAAATTGCCTCTTGTTTCAGTGTCAGGCTGGAGTGCAGTGAGGCAGTCTCGGCTCACTGCAACCTCCGCCTCCCGGGTTCAAATCATTCTCCTGCCGCAGTCTCCCGAGTGGCCACCAGCCACCATGCCTGGCTAATTTACATATTTTTAGTAGAGTTGGGGGGTTTCACCAGCTTGGCCAGGCTGGTCTTGAACTCAGACCTCAGGTGATCTGCTTGCCTTCACCTTCCAAAATGCTGGGATTACAGTCGTGAGCCACCACGCACAGCCTATTTATTTTATTTATTTATTTATTTATTTATTTATATTTTTGACACAGGGTCTTGCTCTGTCACCCAGGCTGGAGTACAGTGGCCTGATCATGGCTCACTGCAACCTTGAACTCCAGGGTCCAGCGATCCTCTCACCCTCCTGAGTAGCTGGGACTACAGGTACACACCATCACACCTGGTGAATTTTAAAAATTTTTAGTAGAGACGGATCTCACTATGTTGCCCAGGCTGGTCTTAAACTCCTGGACTGAAGTGGTCCTATTTTGGCTCACAGACGTGAGCCACTGTGTCCTGCCAATTTGCCTCTTATATACCTCCCAATTTCCACCTGAACACTTCTAGAGGCAGCAAGGTCAGGACAGGAATTCACTAAGCACTGAGTACGTAGATGGACCTCTCTCTGGTCAGTGGTGTTTCTTCTTAGGAAGTACCGTAAGTAATCTCCACGCCTGGAGTCCTTCCTTAGGCTTGTGGTAGAACATAGACTATCTAGGGTCTTCCCTGCAACTTGCCCAGACAACAGAATCACAGGCCTGCACTGGCACTAAGTAAAGAGCCACTACTATGTTTCTTGATTTGGGCTGTTTCCTATTATTTCCCTATAAACTGATTACTCAATCTCCCAACCATACGACAGTTTGTTGGAGGTCATTAATCTGATTAGCTATGTTCTGATCTGTTTTAATTTGAGAGTGCCACAGCAGAATGGAAGCCTGTGAAGCCCTCCTTCATCTTGCCTGCAAATAGAGTGTCCCAGGTACTAGGTTTGGGTTCTTCAGTGGAAGTTCTCATTCTCCCTCCCAGTAACCTTAGGAGGTAAATATTACCTTTACTGATAAGTCAGATGTCTAACCCTAAATTGCTGAGACCAGCTTGGTCATGGAGACCCTAACCCAGGCGGTGCTGAAGGAATTAAGAAACAGACACAGAGATAGAGTGCAAAGGTGGGCTCAGAGGGCTGACAGCATTCCCAGCTGAGAGCCCAGAGCAGACTCTGACCCATGTTTTTATTCTTTGCATTCTAGTGATAAGTTTAACAAGCGGATACTCTGTGTTCTTTCATAGATTAAAGGCAGCTAGTGTATGCTCACTATAGGCTAAAGATGCACTAGAAAGCATTCTTTGCGAGGGAACAACGGAGGCAGAGTTACATATCCTGAGTTCAAAGAACTAGTTCATCTGGTGTGAGACATACTCACATTGTTTACTGTTTTAGAATGTCCTGAGCAGTTTTCTGCTTTGGAAGCCAGCCGGATTTTCCTTGTTGTTGCTCTCAGCAAACAATATAATTTATCTCACACATCAGGATTTGTTCTCAGCATGTTCCTCTCTGTTTTTCTGCAAAGCTAGGTAAGCAAACACAGCTTTATCTCGGTGAGCTATTTCTTAGAGGATTTGGGATCTGCATCTGCAGACCACACAGAGAAAGAAGACAAATTAATAATGCAATCATAACAGCAACCATAGATCCTCCAAGTGCTTTTACTCAAGTCGCAGGGTTCAAGGCTGCTATTCCATCAGCAGCTCTTTCAAGTACTTCAGCTCCTGGAATTAAAGTCAAATGTGCTTGAGAGGCTTGAAAAACTTGTTCCTTCAGTTTCACAATATCCAAAGATAAATTTCTAGTTGATCCTTTAACTGTCTTTTAACTCTTTCCCATTCATGTTCTGACTCATTATAAAGGTGAGGAGTGACACAGAAATCAGAAGTATTCCAATCACATTTCAGTTGCACTCTGTATTCTAAACTGATTACTCAATCTCCCAACCATATGACAGTTTGTTGGAGGTCATTAATCTGATTAGCTATGTTCTTATCTATTTTAGTTTGAGAATGCCACAGCAGAGTAGAATTTTCTGCCATATATTTACATAGTCTGCTGGTCTGCTGTTTGCACTGTTGAATGTAAAGCAACTCCGGCTCCGGCTACCACAGCAGTAGCTGTAACACCAGTCAGTCCCATAATGATTAAGATCAGAGTAGCAATGAAACGCCAAGAGTGCCTCAAGGTCTTTTGAAGAATTTCAGTAGTAATAGGCACAGAAGGAGTGGCCTCCCAAGGATGGGAAAACTTCACAGGTATCCATGACTCCTTCTTGGGCTCTTACCACTAAAATGGAATAATCAGTATTATACAACAAAGAATTCACACAAGAAAACAATCTACATTCTTGACATGTCACATGATTATTAGGGAGATCAAGTTTTAAATTGCCCATCACAAGCAGGAAAGAGGGGGCCGATGCAACTCTATATCCAGACTGTATAATTGTGAACCAATTCCGACATGTAATTAAAATTATACTGGGTTGGCTTAGTGTATTTTCCTTCCCAAATCTTTACCTTTTTCAGGGCCATTAATATTTTCCGTAACTCCTTATGTTTGGCTTCTGCAAATGGCCGTATCATTTGAAGCTGAGGTTCCACTATGCCACCATTATGCCCAAATAATAGGAACTTTTGCTGTACTTCTTATAGTTTCTACCCTCTGATCATTTTGTTTAGATGCAGGGTGACCATAACCTACAGACTGAGAGGTGGGCCTCATAAATGCCTCTTTAGGGGACCAGTCAATAATGACTCCACATGAATCATTATGCAGCATCTCTGCCGGCCCTGTGATACGGTCTTCCCAAGAAAATACCTTCATTTTTTTCTGACCACATCCAATCCACTTTACAGATAGGTTTTTGACGGTGGTAAACTTTGACTACAGGAACATAATCATTGTAATAAATACTAAGGCCAGAAAGCATATGTAATTGTGCCACAGAGTGATTACACTCAAGCACTATCGTCAGCCAAGACTGATGGCTGGGAAGTAGGCAACTGTTGGCTTTTCCCAAGCAAATAAGTAGATGCTCAAATCCCAAGGAGATATTCATAACTGTTCTATCCTCTTGAAGGTGAGATGAGCCCCAATTATCTATAGATTCCAGCATCCATGAGCTATTATTAGTATATACATCTTCTAACTTGCGGGATCTAGTCAAGTCATATGTCGCAATAAAGGAGGGAAAGGAATGTATGCCCAATATGTGAAATTTCCTCCCACTTCTGCCCCTACTCTAGGAATACTCACTGCAATGGTGATAACTGCCGTCATCACTACCATCAAGTTACTCATAGTAACAGGCTGTTCTGCTTTTTTCAGGTTTTCCTCAGCCATCTGTGAAACTTCTTAATCTGACCCCAAGTCGGTGGTGATATTTGGCATGCTCCCCTTGTGGGAGCAGTACTTGTCTCAGTGTTAGTCTTGCCATTTCCATGACGGGGCGTCAGGGGGGGTCCTCTGGTTCCTCCCAGAATGCAAACCTCTTCTTTTGTATCTGGCTTATGATAAGGCTTTAAGTATCTGGATGGTACCCACACCAGCTGTTGATTTGGACTTGGAGAAACACAAGCAAAAACAAGAAACACTACCCCATGTTATTACATTGCCTTTTCCCCCAACTTTTTGTTAATGGGTGTCACCACCAGATTAACTGCCGTAAGTTCTCTTCTTTGGATTGTTTATTCAGGTATTGTTCAGCTGCTGTTATTTGTCATCCCCTTGGCAAACTTAAAAAAAAAATTAAGTTAGTAATGCCAAGTTATGTTGCATTTGTGGGGTTCTGTATTCACTGTTTCCCCCTTTCTGTTTCTGCAGTTGCTGTTTAAGGGAAAGGGTCATCCGTGAGACAATAGCCAGTCCCCTGAGAGTTATATGGGATACCTGTAATATGAGTAATGTTTCATTGTTTAAAAAATGCTGCTAAGGAATGACTAGCATATCCTGGGGTGTTATCAGTTTTTATGGAAGACGGAATACCCATAACAGCAAAACACTGTATTAGCAAAACACACTGTATTAGATGTCGTTTGACACAAGCTGATGATTCACCAGTTTGACACTGTTGCCCAAACAAAATGAGAGAAAGTTTCTATACAAACAGGTACATATGCTAACTTTCCAAAAGATCAAACACGTAACATCTATCTGTCATAAACTATTTGGTTCTAACCCCTGAGGGTTTACGCCTCTTGAACTGGAGGGAG